TATTTTGACTGTAACGTATTCTCAGAAGAAATAATATATTCAATATTCAATATCCGAAAAATGAAAACATTCATGGAACCTAGCGAGTAAACTTGAGCTGTTTTGACTGTAATAATCCCAAAAAACATCCCATTCTTTTCTTTTGTATAATGGAAGCTTGACTATTCGTTCAAACTTTCCGGTTTGTGCTTTCGTTTTTGCCCCCGTCCAAACTCGCTAAAGAAATTATGACACTAGTTAAACCCTAAAACTGTTTAATATTCCTAAAAAGAAAACATTCCAAATAGTTGTTTCTGGGAACTAAGTTGTTTTAGTCAGGGAGCATGTGTACTCCCGTGGGAATTTCGTGCTGAAAGCAAGCAAAAAGATTAAAGAAGTGGCCGGCGTCAACACGGAAGTTAAATAAAAACGATCGGTTTTTCTCTTAGTTTTACAATTCCTAACTCCATTGAGTGAGTATTAACAGGTTAAAATTATTAATTTTCCTCTTGATAGTACTGGAGTTTTTTTTTTGTAAGAAGCTTGAAGTAATATTTCAAAAACTTTCCGCTTGCGCTTTCGCTTCTATCGTTAAAACCGAGGGGTGTGACAGAGGTCGCGTGATGTCAATCAAAACTTCTTCGTTTAATTGGTTAGCACTTCCAAAACAATCATTTCCAAGAACCGTTCAAAGTTTGCCAAAGCGTTCGATTAGAAAGGCGCTCAAGATTTCTTTCTCAAAGCGTCTTTAGATAAAATTGAGAATGGACAAAGCAAAGCTTTTGAATCTTTGTAGAATTTTCCATCGTCAAACTGATGGCGAGGGGAAAACGATTCTTGGTTGTGGTTGTGTAGTAAAATGTAGCAATCGGTCTTTGAAGATTGCTACTTCCAAAAAAATACGAAAAATGGAAGGTGGCGAAGTCTTCGCTACTTTTGAGGCTATCCAAGATAAAGAAATCAAACTGCAAGTTGATATGAAAGAAGAGAGTGGGATCGCTTATCTTTCATTTGACGAAACCGTATTTGAACACCGTCCAGAAGGCATACCAATGGGAGATTTTGGTAGGATTGGTGAAATTACTTATCGTGTTCCGGTGTTCGACAAATTAGAGCAGCTGCATGTATCTACAAGTGAGATCAAGCTCTACAATGTTGTAGAAGATCCGACCAGGTGCACTTTACAGATCCAAACTGGAAATAACAACAGGGTTATAAGCAACTTACGCGAAAGTGACCAGTTTCATTTGGTTGTTCGTGGTGCTCCGATACTTGATGATAGGTTCGAGTTCTTTGGAATTGTGGATTTCTTGGAAGTCGACGAGGAATCCTCGTTGGAACTTGTAACAGGTATGCATAAGATACTTAAGCCATGTCGTAACTTATTCTTTGTAGGCGCGACCCTGGCCATCGTACGGTACCATCCGCCATATGTATTGTAGTAACTGCACTCGTAGTTTATATTTTATTCATTCCTCGTGATAACTTGGGCACTAGTACAGTTCTAATAATAATACTTATATTGTGCGTGTTACATAGGAAGATACTCACACGCGCACTACAAACTGAAATATAATTATAAAAATATACATTATGATCTAAACATACCATGTAGGCCCGTTGCATCGGCCCCAAAGCATCGCAACCAGGAGGGTAAGCAACGAACTGGCCATAAGGTCCAGCAGGAGTTGTTGCAAGGGGTCAATGGATAATAATAATCATGGGTGTGTATGTATATATATCAAATCTAATTATAAAACTTATCAGCAAAATGCTTATTGAATAAATGCGTTTTAAGCAGCTTCTTGAATGATTGCGTGCTACTGGCAGTGCGTATTTCTGCTGTTTCGAGTATATATTTATTTAGTCTCGAGCGGTGAATATTATTCCAAAGTTTGCCAGACCGGAAGTATACTAAAACTATAATACTATTTATATATGTACCAAACCCCTAAGACTTTGACAATTTAATAACCTCCTACGTAGCCCCTATTATTGTCGTCACGCAACGCAACGCAACGCGTGACGACACTAATAGCGGCTGCGTAGGACACTAGACAATTTAGCGATATATATACATATATATTTATCCCCCTTTTTCCTATTGCCTTTCCTCGAAAATCCAGACAACACAATAGGTAAAAGGAGGATACTGTAGATATATATATATGTATATATTT